CTCGGCCGCCCGCCCTGCCCCGCGCATCTTCCGAGCCCTGCCGGGGGTACTTTGGGCTTTTTTTCTCGTTCTTTTTTTTTCACTTTACGCTAACATTTGTGACACCGAAAGGCACACAGACCTCCCTTTCTGCAATCTGCACCTTTGCCGGTTTTATCTCAATTTTATGCCAAAACTTGCAAGAACGTCGTGGACTCTGGAGATTCTTCAAACGGTAACTTCACACACTGGATGGGTACAGGAGTGTCTTATAGGATGTGGCTTGTGCTGGCCCACAGCTCTTTGTCAACTCAGTATTTTCTTGCAGCCTCCCTAAAAGAGTGGGATATTTTTTAATATTTCAAGTAGTAGTAGATACCAGCTTTCAGTATATCTCCCTGACTTTTTTCCCCTGTCAGGAGACTCTCAAAGGGTCTGTGATCAGCAGCTGCCTTAAAAGAGACTTCCACGCTGGTCTTGCACCCCATGGTCCTGATACTTATTTTCACAGACAGGCCATTCTCCCTGCAGAGTCCTGCAGGAGTAAAAGGTCTTGGAGGATTCCCAAGCCACACCTGAAACCTCAGGGACTAAATTCTAGTGACAGTGACATGCACTCCACCTCTACAACTGCTTGCCAAAGGCATTAAAGTCCAAGGTTTTTCTGGTCAGTGGTATAGACTGAAAAAACCTCCATTCCTGAGATTGTCCTCAGTTTTAGTTTGATAAGGAGTGGGATGGACATTAACTGATTTTTAGGGGATATCTCCATAAGTCTTTTGAACATGCCTCTCAACTTCATTACTTGCAGGGGGATAAAATGATGGCGGGAAGGTTTGTCGGAAGCACAGATCCAGTCATGGAGATGCTCAGCGCTTCCATTACCGTTGACCAGAGACTGTCTGAGGTTGATATCCAGGGGAGCATGGCTTATGCCAAAGCCTTGGAGAAGGCTGGGATTCTGTCTAAAACTGAGCTGGAGAAGATCCTGAGTGGCCTGGAAAAGGTATGTCTGCCCTCCACAAACTGTCATGTGTGCTGGAATGAGTGGCTCCTTAACCTGACAACATCTGAGTTGCTGTTCTAAAGAGCATCTTTAAATGTCCTCGTGTCCCGTCCTCTTCAGACCTAACATTCACTAGGAATCCTTTCAGTATGAAGTAAGGACATTCTTTTCCTGCTGGCATGTGGGAATCCTTTTGAGTGTGGCTGCCCTCTGGTAGGAGACAATGTCTAGGGGGGAAGAGGAGTCAGCGGCGAAAGGCTTTTTAAAAAATACCCATTGTTGTTGCTCACCCACCACGGGCAACGGTGAGTCTGTACAATGTTTTACAGGAAAACCTTGGTGGACAATGCTAAAGCAATCACTGATGTTTTGGCTGACTTCTTTCTTGCAATGATTAAATCCTCCTATAGCCATAACACTGCAGGATTGGCATGGGAAGAGAGATGAATCCCAGTAGCCCAGAATATCAGGATACAGCAAGCAGCCAGCCTCGGCCTGAATAGCAGAGCTCACATGAGACTTAACACTTTGGGGTTCAGTTTTCATGAGGGTGGCAGGAGTTGGTATTTGCTGGGGACCCTTAGAGCCCCCACACACAGCAGGGTAACTGTTGCAGCTGACTGGTGTTTCTGTGGTGTTTGTAGATCTCTGAGGAATGGTCCAAAGGAGTCTTTGGCGTGATCCAAACTGATGAGGACATCCACACTGCCAACGAACGCAGACTAAAGGTTTGGGTTCTCTATCCTCTTGGTCCTGTTCCTCTGTAGCTGCATCTGCCTGATGTTAAGGGCATGTGCCTCTGTCCCTCTGTGAAATTCCTCTGGATCCCAAGTGCACAGTCCAGTGACTCCAAGGCCCCTTCCATAGAAGTGGCACTGTACAAAAACAGAACCCAAACCTGCCCTTCCCCACAACAATCCCCTGGGCACTCACAGGATCCTAGAGCTGAGTCCCTTCCAGGCAGGGAGGAGATCTGCTTGTGGAGTGTCTTGCTTAGAACACAGAGAGACTGACAGAAATCCTCCTCTTGTTGTCAGGAGCTGATTGGAGATGTAGCTGGGAAGTTGCACACTGGAAGAAGCAGGAATGATCAGGTATGCACAGAATAATTTTTTTCTCCTTTGTATTTCCCCACCTCCCCCTCCTCATTTTAGGAGACCTCAGACCAACATGGCCTTTGGAACTCTTCCTGGAGAGCAAGAAATAGTGACATCACCACATAAATATGACCAAATGATGAGAAGAAGATGTACCTTCCCATTACACAATACAAGGAGGGGTTTACTTTGCAATAAAAGTGGCCAGTCACCACATGTGTCATATTCTGTATTGTCTGACTGTGGCCAATCTCACGCAGGTTGTGACTGACTTGAAGCTGTTCATGAAGAATTCCCTCTCTGTCATCTCCACACACCTCCTGCAGCTCATCAAGACCCTGGTGGAACGCGCTGCCATGTAAGTCCTTTCCCAAATCCAGGGCCTTGGCTGGGCCAGGAGACCTGTAGGCTTGTTCTTTGAGTGACAGCAGTG